TTCTGAGTTGTCATGATATTCCAGCAGGAGTAAATGTAACCAGGGTATCTCTGGAAAAGCCTGAGCCTTCGCTCTGAACTGTACAATCGCACTGCCTCTGTGGCCAGGACAAAACAGGCCTTGTCTGCATCGCAGCTACATTTTAAGGATAAACAAGGAGAAAGGAAATTAACATCCCTGGGTCGTGGCCTCAGTGGATAAGCAGAGTGACTGAACCTTTTGAGCGCTTTTGGTTTGCCCACAGCCTTATAGCTATACGCTTTGCTAAGTGAGGTCGCCGGATGGAGTGATACAGGCAAAGTGACTAGCCTTTTAATTGCACGAAAGGATTCAGTTCCCCTGCTTGTTCATCATTCTGTTACCTCTTTGCATGCACCCCATATCCTGACGTGAATGTTCTTCACCACCCTAATTGGGGTTTACCTGCCCGTGCTTCTGCTGTTTATACATATGCCAAATGCTGTTTCCCCAAAACAGGATTCAATGGCAGAGAAGCAGTTCAAACACAGCACCTAAAAATATGGATTCTGCAGCTATTCTCCCCAGCTCCCCCTCCTGGCTCAGCCTCTTGCTAGTTTTAGTTTTCTCCTTTGTAAAACAGGATGTTAATAGCTGCCCCCCATATACACCTTATTAGGATTGCTGTAAGGATTAAATGTGTTGATATATATATATATATATATATATATATATATATATATACATACACACAACCCATTGCCTGGAATATAGTAAGGTCTTGACAACCAGTGACTATGAGCAACTGGCTACTATTTTGGTGTATTCCAAGACGCTTCATGTAGAGATTGATTCATTCAATTAACGAAGAAGACATTGCTCGGTAGGGAGATGTAGGTATGAAGACTGCTGAAACAGGAAGAAAAGCACTAAATTATGACGCCGTGTTTAACAATGTCACTGTCTACCTTGAGAAGGGGCAGTATGGGTTCGAGAAGCTCTCTAGAGGGTGGCGTGTTTTATTGTCTCACGTGATCTTCAGAATTTAATATGGTTAGATTCCCCCTGGAGTATATGTGTGGCTACACAAATAATTGTCACTCATCCCCTTACCCAGGAGCCTATGAATGTGCACACCTACTCTAGGTGAAACTGGTACACTCTGTCAGGACACAGTCCCCACCAAAAACCCCATCCAAGACTGCCACTAAAATTCCCGCTGTGGTGTCTGACACTGCTCATCTGCCTCTGCTGCTTGTCCTGTAGCGCCTCCAAGGAATTTCTCCATCCTCTCTCTGTTCATGATGGGTCTTTCACAGAAATCTCGGGAGAATTCAAGAGCCCTGCTGGGTACTTTAAGGAGGGAGTCAAGTCCTCCCAGAGTGAAAGGGAACTGCACTAGCAGGGAGGTATTTAGTGGAAGTCCCCACCATGTTCACCGTATGGTTTCAGAAATCTTGCTTTTCCAGTCTGCACCCAATTACAAGTCATGTTTGATAACAATTATTTAATGTAACTATTGATTTAGTAGTCATTAAATTCAGTATCTTTTAAAAATTCTTTTTACTTTTAACTATTTGCATCCTTCTTAAGTATTCCGGGGGTCTGTGTCATTCATGTTTTTCGCAGACCTTTGTTAGGGAACATTACAAAAGGCATGTCTTTAATTTAGGAAAGTAAGCTAGGGCATCCTTTGGTAATTCTCTGAAGGGAAGGTCTTTTATTATCCTATGAAATGCCTCTGACTTTGTGCTATTAAAAATGTGAAAAATACTTTTGACTTTGGACTATATAATATGAAAATTTGCATTTGGGCATAAAATGTAGGCTTAAAATTAGCTGACCTAAGAAGACCTTGTGCTGAACTGTTTTACTTCTTTTGGCGTTTATTTGCCTCACAGCGTTTTTTTTTTTCCTCCTTGCCTTATTCTGGCTTTCTCAATTTTGTAAATTCTGACAAAGTATAAGATTTGTAATTCCCTTGTGGCAGTGTAGGCACATGCAGTGTTTGAAAGAAGAAGCAATGTGAAACGTTCAACTTGGTAGGTAATGCCAACTATTGAAATCTTTTATTTAAAAAAAAAAAGATGATGGCAGTCTCCACATGAATAAAAATCCAGCTGCCTTAATTAACTTCAGATCCTGTCAAACACTGAACATTGCAGGTATCTTATTTCCTGGGAGAAATCTTATTTTTAAACTTTTTAAAAACTGGCTTACAAGCAAAGTCGAAACAGAAATCGTTTGTATTTAAGACTGTAAAGGTGTAAAGAGACAAGCTTTGTCACCTTCAGTGGAAATATTTAGATTAGACTGATATTTGTTTATAGCAAATCTGGGTTCCCCAGGCCCTAATGGTAAAAACTGTTGTTTTTTGTTGTTTCTTTCTGCTAAAATATTTAGCTTTAACTGTATCAGGTTAATTGTATAATTATCAATTCTCTATTCAACTTTGTATTGGATACTTACAGCTAAATTTAAGGAAAGCATCCTTCTTTTTGATAGACTTTGAATTAGTTTCTATATCTATTCTAAAATAATCACCTACCTAAATGATATTATTACTGACAGGGATGAGCCATAAGTAGAATGGGATACAAAATATGTCTATAAATCACTTAGACATCAAATAGTTTCATTATTTGGCTTGTAGTTTTTGAATTATCTTACCACTCTATCATACCTCAAATCTGTTTATCTACAGAACTGAGGCAAGCTAGATTGTCAAACTCCATGGAGATTGATTTTCCGTAAATGATCATGATGCAAAATACATTTAAATAAAATAGTAGAGCAGTATTTGAACAACAGTATGATATAGTGACAACTTCCTTATTTTCCCTGGCATTTTAAGGTTTATAAAATATTTTAATCATGCATTTGTATAAGAAAGTATATTAATATAATATTAGATCCTTACAGCGAAACTTTGGGGAGGATAGTGTCTTTATATCCACCTTATATTTGGAAAAGCAAATTTGTTAAGTAACTCATCAAAGTTTACAGAGCTAGTTAACCAAAGAAAGGTCCATAAACAAAACAAAACAAAACAAAACGTTAACCAAAGAAAGGTCCATAAACAAAACAAAACAAAACAAAACTCAACCATTCTGACTTGCAAATTATGTTTTATTTTTTAACATATTCTTTGTTACTGTTTAAAAATAACTTATTATGTTATTGCATATAGCTTCTTTGTGACTCACATGCAGTATTGTTTTCAGTGAATACTTAGACATTACCTAATTTCTTTGTTTTTTGGTATTTGTTCATTCAAACCTACTTAATTGTGCTTCAAGTTTCCTCCTGCTTTCATTTAAACTCTGCTCTGATGTTTCAGTATGAGGCGTCAAGATTTATCAAGACCAAGTCTATGTTTGTGTATTTCACTAAAAGATAACCAGCTCTTAAAGCATTATTACTAAGATAATATGAAAAAATTGTGTTTTCCTTTATTTTGTGGATTAATAATACTTAACCTTGGAGTATATATATTTATCTTCAGAATTCACATAGACATATGTCAACCTTTTTCAAACTGTCTCGTGTTAACTCAGATAACCCACAACTCACATGTTCCACCTGATAGTAATAAATATTCTAAACACAGAATCCTTGGTTAACTTGGTTTGCAAAACCTTATATAGGCTGTATCTTCCTCTGAGAGTTTTACGGAGGTTATTTGCATATTAAAGGCTCTTCAGTAAAATAATAATATTGATGCTGCTAGTTTCTAAATGGTTTGAGAAATGCTAAAATATGTGCAATGAATTACTTGGTTGAATTTATTAATGGATAGTGTTTTATTAATTAAGATCCAACCTAATTCTGCAAAAAGAAGCTCTCACCTTGCTTTTTTCTCTCTCACTCTTTATTTGACAAAGATTTGCATGGTCCTGTTTTAAACTTTACAGTTACAGACTGGAAACCAGGTTACTAACAAGCTCTTCCCCACCACTCCCCCATGTAACATTTCTTGATTTTTAATCCCTTTCTTTCCCTTTTGCTCTTTCCTTGATCTTTTAAATCCACTGCCAGCCGAAGCTCCCTGAGTCTTGACCCAACGCATCACTCTTTGGGAGAAAGTTTTACTCATAGCCAGTCTACCCGTGCCTGCTTCCTAGCTTCACCTGTCAGCTCTGCCTTACTGACGCACCCCTTCTTTGCCATCAACCCTCCAGAATTCTTTCAGGAAGCACCCCTGTTTCTCTCCTGTGTTCAGTCCAAAGCTGCTCCCAGGATTCTTCTATTTGCACGAGAATACAAATATCTGCCAGGATGTAAATAACACTCTCCTTCTGAGACCTGTTGACATGATACTATGGAACAATCCTTGCATCTCATCTGGTGTAGTGCAATTCTGGCTTTCCAAGGTATGTACCGTATTTCCCCATGTATAAGACACACCTGTTTTCGAAAAATTTGGGGTCTAAAAATTGGGTGTGTGTTATACAGTGGTTGTAGATTTTTTTTTCTTGCATGTCCCACTTTTTCCGCTCTTGCTTTTTGCACTCATACAACCACTGTATAAGACACACCCAGGTTTTAGACCCCGACTTTTTCAAAAAAGGGTGCGTCTTATACATGGGGAAATATGGTACTCAGTGCAATTCAATTTCAGAGGCCCTCACTGAGTCCCTGGTAGACTGCAGAGGGTTGGGTAGCTGGTCTACTGGTCTACCTGACTGTACACATTGAGCTTCCAGGGGTAATTGATAAATAAGGTACAAATTACCATTGTCTTTGAGAAACCGTTTCTCTGTATGAATTCCCACGAAAACATGCCTTTTCTTTGATGTGTACACGTGACTTGGATGGCCTTATGGAAAATGTCTTTCGGGTTTGTTATCCCCTGCCCAATTTGGTTTCCAACCACTGCCAATCTTGGCTTAGCCACCACTTTTTTATATTCCTTTAATACCCGTGACCCATCCAACCTTCTGTCTGTCTCCCTAACACCCCTGGGTGATACCCTCTATGTATTGGATTGGTCTCAAAGATAAAGATCCCAACAGTAAGTCAGTGCCTGTCTTTGCCCACAGGGGTGCGTCTTGACAGAGTACGCGGCGGTCGGCAGAAGTACAAGCGCAGAATAGACGCGGAGAACAGCCCATACCTGAACCCTCAGCTGGTTCAGCCAGCCAAAAAGCCATGTGAGTACAGCAGACATGTCTGGCTGCCCAGCTCTGTGTCTACCAGTTTGGGAATGCCCATCTCTCCTGACTCCAAGGAAGCTTGTCTTTGTTGGGGGGCCGTGGCTCCATTTCCTAGAATTGCCTTTGAGGAGTAAAGCAGTTCAGCTAATTACCTTTTTTTTCCTTTGTTTTTTTCCTGCTACCTTTTCTTTCTTTCTTTTTTTTTTTTTACCTAGTCATTTTGTGGAAGCATCAGCATATTAAGGCGTAGCTTATACAGTGTGAATTTTACATTTACTGGTTATCTTTATTTTCAGAGGTACATAAAATGGATCATACTGTGATCATTAGTTCATTGGAGCTGTTCGCTTCAGATTTCACAAGAAAGTGATTTTTGTAGTTTTCACTAACTAAATGACTTTGACTGCTCAACCTCCCAATGAAAATACATTAGGAGCCTCATTAATTTGGAGCTATAGGAGGTTAACACACTCGCTTGCAATAGATTAAAACAAGAATGGGTCCTACTAATAACAAGCATAGGTTGATGGTTCCATCTCAGATGCCCTTATGGGCACTATGAATTGTTTTTAAAGAGCCCATGGTTTTATAATGCCAGGTTGCAATCTGAAAGGATGATGGTGGTTGCTAAAATGCAAGCCCCATTCTCTTTGTCATTAACTAAAAAGAGCCAGAATATAGATTGAGGCAATCACTGTATCCCATTTTCTGAAAACGCAGCTCTAGCTGTAGTGCAACAGAGCTAGCTAGCATTTTAGGATGTTTATGCAAAGAGTTCATATTAGGCCCTGGAAACAGTTCTCACATTTAGCTGTCTTAGACTCAGAAGACACAAGCCGCACTCACCAGAGGATCCTGCAACTGTAGCAGTTCTAGAAAAGATGCGGGTAATTTTTGCTCTACTTTCAAGGGAAGAGAAAAAGTGACCTCTTCAAATTCAGGTCCGCCAGGAGGGGTCGCTGCTGTGCATCATACACATGAGCATATCGCGATGGGTTAAATAAGTAAAACAGGCCCTGAACTGTAAACGAAAGGACATTTTTGCTATGTCAAAGGAAAAACAACCCATTTTACATAAAATTAAAGCTTAAGTGAACATATGGCATAGTTTCCTTTTGCCTTTCCAAAAAACATTATGTTGATTACACCTTCAATTGTCCAATCTGGCATCTTTTCCCCCGCCTGCATAAGCCGTTTGGCATTCTGCACATACGATCTAGGACTGCAGTAAGCAGATTTTGCACATTATAATAAAAAACTTTTTGATAATACAATAAAATGTGATAAACACTAATGCCTAATTTCATTAGAGGTTTCGTTATCCTGGACTCAGGAATACACAGACTGCCCATTTCTCTCATTCGTTTTATGCAGACATTGAGTCTAACCATTGATAATTTCCTCTACTGCGAGAAAAACGAGCCCTGGCCCATTTCTAAGTCCACACGGCAGAGGAACAGCTATGGTTTTCTGTGCAAACCTGAGACATTGGGAAGTGGCTTGTCAAGTATCTTTAAGAAGATTACAGCCGTTCCAGTGAGCTTCATTTGTCTGAGATAAAGAGGACCCCTAATAAATCATTACTCATTATCTCAAGGCCTCTGTGTTAATTTTCCCGAGTCCATCCAATTAGTGTGTTTTGGTAACAAACATTTATAAAACTTAATTTTCAGATCCTGTCAGATAAGTGTCAGGAGACCATGCGCGGGCTTTGCAGAAAAAGTGGCTGAGGGAGATTTCTGGACCCTGACTGATTGTGTACCGCAAAAGCCCAAGAATGAAAATTGGGTTTTATTGATTCTAATTAGGGAAACATTAAATAAGATTTACCTAGAAACAGTGCTGCCGGCTATTCCATGTTCTGAATGATAGGAATTTCTAAGCTTTAACCCAATTTCTCTGAGCCCAAGCCAAGTATCCATTGACGTGGGTGAAACAGGTAGTGTTTTTTTCCTCTACTAAAAGGACTAGACCCAGGGTGTCCTTTGGTTCATTTTTGTGCCTTTTATTATTGCATTTTCTTCCAATCCTGAGATGCTAGTGGTTGCTGACAGGTTTTGTTGCATTCTCAGAGCAATGAAAGTTGAAACGTTTCCAAGCGTAACTAAAAATACAGGATGTTGTTTCTACAGCATATACAAGAAATGAATGTCATTCTTTGAAGATCCTGCAAATTAAAAAAAAAAAAAGAATTTCTAATTACTGTTATTTTATTTTTTCTAGAAAATATGGTATTTGGGAATATTTCCCCTCAAATCTGCATTTTCAATTTGATGATAATTGAGTATTACTGCCTCTCAATGGTTATCTGTTGATTATTTGCAATAAATATAATTCCTATGGCAGCCCTCCTAAATATGTCAGCATTTTAAAATATGTCAGGAAAATTGCTAATGATAGCTTGGATAAGTCTCCTTGTGACTGTGTATAAGGAGACTAAAAGAATGCTATGTTTTCAATTCTAAGGCTAGGGAGTCTTTTCTTTTCATTTAAAAAGTTAAAAACTTATACAGAAAAGAAAATTGTCTAGTTAACACACAAGCGACTTGGGCTGTGCTCAAAATGTGACAAAAATCCCATCTAATGCCCTCATTTTCTAGAGTAACAATACATAGGACACTGAGGTATTTGGGTTCATTCCTACCACTTTCTATGTCCTCACTTAGCAGAAAATATAAAATCTAAAGCTACTCACGGAAATTGAAAACAGGACCAACAAGAAAAAACATTCCGTCAGCAAGGCTTTACAACGTACCCTTCCATAAACTCTCCCGTGCCCCTAAGCACTGAAACACATTCGATGTGATGCTTTCCATTTGTCTCTAGTGTTTATTTTATGAAGGATTTTCAAAACATCTATCACAAACTTCAGACAGATACCTCATAACCAGAGAACGAACTAAAGGCAACAGATGAACATAGAGGCATAAAGAATTAGACAGTCCAAAGAGAAAATGCAGGAACATTTAAGGAGGGGTATTTTTCTGGACACTGCTCCTGGCTCTGTGTGGAAGACGGACTGGGGGTGTGGGGATGGGGAGAAAGGAAAGAAAGTCCCATTTAATGCATCCCACAGCGATAGACTTATATAGTCAGTAATTCACCCAGGCAGGCGGGCCCTGACCTTTGCTCTTCTTTAAAGGAATTAAGATAATTAATGACCTTCATGCCCATTATGATGGCGGCATTAGTGGCTCTTTGCCGTCCACATTATATTCTAGAGTTCAGTGGTTTACTGTGGATTTTTATTTTAAAGCCGTTGAGGAGTATTTAAGCGGCTTCCCCAAATCCCACTTAAGAATCAAAG